TTCATCCGATCTCTTTTTTCTTAAATATCCTTCTTTGCAATTTCAGGTCCTTCAGAAGAAGAAGGTTTTTCTGAGAACTTCTAAACTTGAAAATATGCATCCCACTCTGGTCGGTTGTTCGCGTTCAAGTTCAACGGTTTCCTGCACGGTTCAAGCTAATCGACAGTAGTTATGAGAGAAGTTTACCCACGGCCACGTCGTTTCGAGAAGGAATAACCGGAATCCCTCACTTTCACTCGATAAGATACGAACCGCTCTCGACCCGCCGCAGAGATATCACGCTGCCGTGAAATCCAGCCGGGATCCAACCCGAAGAGATTTAGAGGCCGCTCATAGTGTGCAGTCAAGCACACGTTTTCGGGAGGAATTTGTTTTGCTCGCCCCAACGGCGAGCAAAACAAATTCTTCGAGGGCGCCTTGCAGAGTCCGAGGCAAGACGATTTTCAGCTTCAGCTGCAAGGTAGAATTCCCGTTTTCTAATGTAATATTTTAATGGCATTTGAGCCACAAATTAGCACAAAAGGGAGCCTTGCAACCCATCGTTAACACCGAACAAGAGAAAGCCGACTCCATTGGGACTGATAATTCATTGGTTGAGCCACGCTCATGAGATTCAGAACTACGGTTCCAGAGGAAAGACTCCAGTTTCGTAGAAATAAAAAAACTCATTGGCGTCGGTGTGAGCAGCCTAATGTTGTTTCATCTTTGGCGGATTCACACGCTTTTCTGCGATTGTGGTGCTGACGAAACCTTAGAGGAAAGTGAATTTTCCGGGTGAAATGGGTGTTCCTTCGACGTTCCAAAATTGAACATGTGAAGTTCTGAAGTTTCCCTGCCTTTCCCATCCTGAAAATAATTCCTTCTTCCACCAGCTTACTTATTGTTGCAAACAATTAAGGAAATTGCAAGGAAGTTTCGCAATCAAACTTCTGTTGTCTAGATCCATGTTGAGATAATACAGTATATTTGTTACGATCATTAAAGACGCTCTCTGGATATTATTGATATACTCACTCGCATTTGGGTTGTTATTGCGGTAAAATTACCGGTATAGGTTTCAGTCACTGCTGTGGTATCCATATTTCTTACTAAATTTCTGGGGGAATCATTTTCCCCGCATTCCATGAAGTGATGCCAACTGAGAACTCCGAGCAGCAACTGAAGCCTCATGCTTTCTATTTTTTTTTATGGAACATAGTTTTTTTTCCCCAGTATGCGCGCTTGTTCCAGAATGAGTTGCTGTTGTAGTTTTGACATTGAAATTCTCAATTATCCAATCTTTCCCATTCCGAGCTAATTTACGGTTGACGAGCCCATATTCCTCCGACATACTCTAAGTTATGCTGAATTCGCTCTAATGGCAGAGAAGCAGGAAGGTGAAAAGGAATAACGATTAGCATTGCGAAGAATGAATAGCATGTTGTGTTAACCATCTGACTGAATGAAGGAATCTTCAAATTTGGCTTTTACAATTGGAGAAGTATTGATTCTAAGAGTTTGGCATTCTAGTTTTTCACTTCCGAGCGAGGATACCCCCATTTAGTGCTAGGAATTCTCGCTTTTTAAAGGGAGTTAATGCATTTTTAAGCGTCAGTTATAGTTAGAGTGAATTGTTAATAGATTTACTTACATGGCAAGCAAGTGGAGATATGTCTCCGGGGAGAGCTGGAATGGCTCTGGAACAGCCGCAGCTCCAGTTGGAAGAGAGGACGAGATGTTGGCAGCCCACCAAGTCTGAAATGCGTCTAGGGTCCCCCAGTCGTCTTGGAAGAGGACTTTGGCATGCGGGGATGTTCCCGAGGCGTTGAAGACATCCCTGGCCACACCACACACAGCCAGGACGCGATGGTGGACAGGGAAGGACACGAGACGAAGCTCTTCTTCGTCAAGGCCGCTGTTAATAGCATCATTCAGGGATTCCATCTTCACCCGGTGCTCCTCAACCGCCTCCTTTACGTGCTCGCTCGCTTTGTTCAGCTCCAGCTTCGCGACGTCCACGCGTTTCTCCAGATTTTCTTCCGTCATCTGAGCCACCGTTATCGTGATGATTCCCCAGTTTTGATGAATGACCAGTATTTCGTGTTCCCCACGAAGAAAGCGCGTTTGGCCTCCTTGTAAATGGCGCTTTTTCAGGCCAAATCCAATTCCGCAAGTGATATACATCGGCTGCTGCGTTTGCTTCCCAAAAACATGGAAGATCCGAGCAATGGACCGTCTTATCTTCTGATCCATGACAGTGGCACTCTCCACCCAGTCGTCCATGTTCACAACGGGTGGAAGAAGGCGAGTTTCCGTCTTCCATTCTGGGAACGTCCTGGCAATGTTCTCCTGAGTTAGCATCAGAGTCACCCTCTCAAATTCCTCGGATTCCATGGTGTTAGTGGCGTCGCAGAAGGTAAATCCGTTGAAACAGTTTCACTTGCAGAAGGCAGGCAGAGTGCACCGACACAACGACACAGCCAGTGTTATCTACCTTGATTTTATTTATCTTCACCCTTATCTACAGGGCAACGCTGAAGTTACGGAAACGTTAGCTTGTTTGAAGGTGTTCTAAAGTGGATTCCTTTGAATATATTCTGAATGTTTTTTGTACTCATCGTCTGGAGAAGTCGTTTGACAGCCCGAAAGGCTCAGTACTCCGTCAAGAAGAACGATCGTAAACCGATGAAGGAAGCACTTCCACCTCAAAAAGATTCGAAACAAAATAAAGGAAAATATTGCATACCCCCACTGGGAAGAGAAACTGCCCCCAACGGTGACGTGGGTTTTGTGCTTGTCGAGTCTGTATCCACGCATGTAATGTAGTAATGGCGTCTTCTGTGGAAGTCAATGAAATTCACTCATTGATTTACACTTCCATTTTGTTCTTGATAATTTGTGACGCAACAAGTGATCAATATTAATTGGTCACCTGCCCCGTTCCAGATTCGAGGGTCAAGGCAGGTTCGCCAGACAAAATTTCTGGAGAAATGGAAATCCTCGTGATTCTTCCAAGTAAAGTACTTAACTTTATTTTTAATAAAGACAATAATGAAATATGAAAAGCAACAGTTATCCATAGTACTTGTTGAATAATTTAACAACAAAAATCTATCCAAGTATTCCTTGGACACTCCAAATAGAACAGAGTTTCCTTAATAGGGTAATAGTAATCAATGTGAAAATTTAATATTGGATGGGAGAAGGATCCGACTGGGGATTATTCTCCTCTTGAATGAAGGTTATTTACCTTACTGTCCCTTCTCTCTGTTACTCGGGCCACACTCCTCACGCAACCAAGGGACAGGGCTAACCTTTACATCTGGTAGGTTGTCCTGGAGTCAGCTCCGGATATGGTAAGGTCACCATGGTGCCTTCCAAATAGCGACTGACTCCAGGATCCAAGTCTCTCGCTAATATCCTCGGTACCTCTGGGAGGAGGCAGGGTAACTTCCTCAAAAATCCGAGATTCGGATTGGATATACGACTTGGTCCCCTTTTGTTCCATTGGGTACCTTTTCAGTGCTGTCCTCGACTTAATTTATTTAAAGTCATCACGATGGTGTGACTATCTCATTATCTTTATGGGTTTCGTTTTATGTGTTTGCCCCAGTCGGTTACAGGGTTGTCCCATTCTCCTGGTGACAACATATCATTATTCCTACTTAGAAATTAGTTATTCATAATATTATGTATTTTTTCCTGTTTCCATATGGAATGGTCAGTAATTGCATCAAAAATGAAGTTATGAAACTGAAAACCATTTTCTTTAACATGTCATATCATGATTAACAGTATATCATAAGACAGATAATTTTATGTGGGTTATGAAATAATTAACATTATTCCTCTTCATCACAACACACCATTATGAAAGGAAGAGAAAAGTATGGAAAATATTATAGTAGAAAAGGTTGAGATTCCTGCAACTCTTTTTTTAACACCTCAGGAGGAGAACACAGTATATTTCCTCCTTTCCTTTTTTGTTATGATTTTCCCCTTTTTACCGTAAAAGTAAGGTGCGTTTTTAGGGAAACAAAGAGTTCTTCCCGGTAGGCCTAGGAGGCGAAAAGGGTGGAAGACCCCATTCTTCACAATTCTACGTCTATCATGTACTATGATGGATAAACGGGGCTTATATCAAGAAGTAGCACTTCACTATAGATGTACGAGTATTTGTTTTGAAACGATAGTAACTTGTTGCAGGTTTGAGGTGATAAATCATGTTGTATGTAATTCGAAAGAGAAAACTGTTGGACTGTTTGATAATATGCAATTTATTGTCTTTCCAATTTTATGTTGATATAACATGGGTCAGAATGGATGACGAAGAAACCCATATTCGGAGCGGCATTTTGTCGGAGTTCCGTCACCTATCGCCAGTGCAAGATTGGGTTCGCAAGGTTTCGGTCTGGAGATTAATCACTCAAGAATGAACCAAGCCCCGGTAGCCCTTCGAAGTTCGATATCAATGCATTGGAAGGGTTGACCGAGGCCAACCCACGTAAATTGACTTATGAATAGGCCAAAAAACTTGGTACCTCACGAATCGTTAGAGAAAAACAAGACTTGTCAACTCTCCATCTCCGCTTTGCTGTTTTCTTGGCAAGTCAGTGAGCCGTTTCTTGACCGCATCGTGAATGACGAATCAAAATGGGTGTGTTGCGTTAACATTGGCCGCAAGAGGCAATGGGTACATCGGGATCAACAGCCCAATCCGGAGCCAAAATTCAACCTCTAACCAAAAGAAGATTATGCTGCACATTTGGTGGGATCGTCGAGGAATCGTGTACATCGAGCCGCTCAAAAACGACCAGACGATCATTTCGGAAGTGGACTTGCAGCAGCTACATTGAAATAGGAAATGGCTATTCTGAACAGGGGCGCCCTTGCGTGACTCTTAGTATCAAAATACATTCTTTTAATTCATTTCAATGTCATGACTTTTGCTCAAGCAATGCCTGCTTTTGTATCGTGTGAGAGGGAATATATGCAGGTGTCTGAGGATATTGCATAGCGTGTTACAGAAAGTGGACGTCACAGTCTTCACCATCAAACGTGAGTTGAAGGCCGCTCGTCTCCAGATTGGAGAGGTGTTTTTCGAAAGGATCCCAATTCGCCTGGTGCTTCATGGCTGTGAGCCACGCCGCAGCCTCGCGCGAGGCTTGTAGGGCTTTTAATTTATTGTCATCATTGTTTCGTCTTTCTCTCCGAATGAGTATAACGATGTATTTGGTGATGGCGACCGTTTCCAGTTTCAAAGCGGCTTTTTCCAGTTTGGAAAGGCTGACTCTGACCTCGAGGATGAGTTTGTGCACTTTCAACTGCACGTCCCTAAATATTCTCCCGAAATTCCTTAGCTTCTCCCTGTTGGTTCTCACAGCGCTGCCCATCCTCAATACGTCATAGGAGCTTTGTAGAAGCTCCAACGTGTCTATTCCTGAAAAGGAAATGTCAGTCGTGTACAATATCCAATAACTTGTATATCCAATGTTTTAAATCTTCCGCTGTAGCATTTTAGAGATTTTAGACACAAGGAGGGCCTCCCTTTGGTAATTCTCAAAGAACTTTTCAGACGAAAACACGAATATTAACATGAAATAGCTGCCATCTCTGATTTAGTGGTAATTTTTTTTTCTCCAGGTGTTGTAATAATACCTGATTACATTGTATCAGCAAGTAGCGAGATATCGCCCTTCGAATTTTCGGAGGACACTGAAATTATCTATTGAGGGCAAAATTTCCATATCAGGAACTGCTCTTTCTATAGGTGCATGCTGAAGCCTGAATCGGAGCTCTTTAATAGATTAACATAGTGATTTATACATATTCGGACTTCGAATGAGATTTCAGAATTACGAAAATGAAAATGAAAATGTGGGATTTAGGAAAATTTGACCCCCAAAATCCCAATGTGGATAGGGAAATGGCAATCTCTTATTGTGGTAAGTTGCACTCCTTTTTCGGGGGTATCACTAAATTAAGTTAACTTCTTGCCCGCTACATAGAGTAAAATATGCCTACAAATTAGCAATTTCTCACATTTGCTCTTTTTTGTCGAATTTTTTTTAATATGTCAGAGCACTTACGGAGTCATTAGTAGTGTCATTGGAATTGTGAGCTTGTGATATTTCCAAAGATTTATGAATTGTTATGGATTTTCCAATTTTTTTCAAAGTTTGTCTCAAGTGCATACTCTAAAAATGCATTACTACAGAATATATTCCTATGATGTGATGAACAAGCCTTTGAGAACTCTATATAGTGTCTTCAGTAAGTCAGTCATATGCAAACGAATTCAACGTTATTACAGCCAAAATGCCACTGGCCCTAGATATCTTTCGGGGTTGATTGGTTAGGAACACGCATAATCCAAACAGAATTTGCATTCCTATAAGTTGAGCCATAGTGAGACCCAAAATCATCGCATATTGCTCCGAAAAACTATTCTAGTGTTGCACCAAGCGACAATATTTGGTGAAATGAAGAAAAAGTGAATTTTTGGATTTTTGAGAAATTTAAATTATTATTTTCGGGAATGGGCCTTAAATCATTTGCAAATCTCAAGAACGCCAATCCCATGACACTATTCACCATGTCATAAGTACTCTGAAGCAAAAGGAACCTTAACCAAAGATGACCGATCACCAGAAGACTCTCGCCGTGACATATGTATATGCCTAACTTTAATGAGTCCCGGTGAGAAGAGGGGGGAAAGTGGATATCTCTTAAAACATAGTTTCCACGATCCATCACCAAATGATGCTTTCACTTCCAATTGATGCACTTTCATCGCGACCATGCTAAATTCACCGATTGAAGTTGCTTTAAAAGACGAAATGTACTATTTCCGGACTGAAACTCAAATCGTGCTCCATAAGCTAGCAGATTCTTTGCGTAAGGAGTGATGACTATCATCGGCAACTCAGCAAAACTTAAAACTAAACCTAAATAGATAAACCTACGTTTGAACCAATGCACATTATGGTACATCATTCCAGGAAGTCAGGGTTACCCCTCACCATTATGAATTTCCTTCTGCAAGCGATGCATGATGTCTTCGATTGCGAGCCTTTCGTCCAGCACTTCCCTCGTGGTGTCGAGAGATGCGTCTTCACAGGACTCCAACCGATCGCAAAAGAGCTTGATCTTCTCAAAATTGGCGTCCCACATATTCCTTTTCATGTCCAGATTCCCCTTATTGCAGTCAGCGAATACTGCGGAATTGTTAACCGTAAAAAAGGCTTCACAAGGGATCCTGGCCTCCATTAATCTATCTACGACCGGAGGTTTCGTACTCCCGTCAGAAAATGTTGTGACAGCCACGAAAGATCGCTCTACCTCCTTCCCAAAGATGCCCAACACCGACTCGAAAACGTACATCTGTTCCACCGTGAGTCTACTGTCGCTCACTGGAACGACAAGTCCAACAGCATGGATTCGAGTGATGTTCCATTTTTTTCCCTCGTCAAAGAACCTCTTGAATTTTCGGAGCAATTTCTTTTCAGCGTCCAAGCCACTTGCATCAGCGAATCCAGGGGTATCGATGATGATTATATTGTGCGGGAATCTGGATCCATACTGCGCGTGGACTATATAGGCGGACACCTCCTTCGTGCGACTGATGTATGACTGGGAGGCTTCTTCATGGATGAGCTTGAAGCGAAATTCGTCATCAAATGTCACTCCAAAGATGTAGTTAATCAGGGAGTTAATCGTGGAGGTTTTCCCTGAAAAAACCAAGTAAACGGCTTATTCAAAACTTGACATCGCCATATTTTGTTTCTCTTTCATTTGATGTTGAAAATATTTATGGAACTGCGCGATGAGGGCCCTTTGTGTCTTTGCAACCACGCGCGAATAGAAGACATTGCGTAGATTGAGTATTTCCTGATAATTGATTGCCCTCGTCACTTTATCAATTTCGTAGTCTTGATTACCATACGAGGGATTTCTCAAAACTTCTGCCAATAGCCCACAAGTCGTCATCGGAGGCGGCCGCAAAGTGCTACTTTGGGGCTACTGCCATTTGATTAAAAACGGTTTCTCTGAGCAACATACGCTTTCGCAGCTATGAGGAAGATCCCGAGCGATTTTCGATTAAAGTCTTTATGTAATTATCTGCCCTTCATTTGGAAAGCCTTATTCAACAAGATTGGAATCTCTTTCAGTAGAATGCTGAAAACATTGAGTACCGCGAATATAAGTCCCAAATACAAAATTGAAAGTAGGAGGTGGATCATAATCTTGATTAGGTCATCTTGTCGAAAAATATCCTGATTACAATCTATTTTCTAATATTTTTTTAAAATCACGATTGAAAGGCATCAAATGATCTAGACAATTTCACAAAATGGTGAATTGAAGATAGATCCGGAATTTTTCTATAAACGTGAAACGTTGACAGAATAGGCATTGCGATATGGGGATAACGGTGGTCTTTGTCCTCGAATTGACTTAGAACTTCTAGAGATACAGCTGGATAGCTGTCGCTAGGCCTTAAGGTGGCGGAAGGATGGTTCCTTTGGAAAGGAACCTTCCTGGAAGAGGAAAAGTAGGAAGGACTGCTCAAAACTGAATAAACTATACAGCACCAGCCTTCCTGGACGAACCACTTCAAGAATAAAATAAAGTAACATTAGTTTATTATTCCACCTGTTCCGGAATCAGTCCCGGCCAGGAGTGAGATTGAGATTGCCGGAATTAGAGGGGTTTTGGTGCACTTGTCTCAGAGAATGATAGCTAAATCTGAAGATAATGCTCATAAGAGAATATTGATGTTGATATCAATACATTGATCCTTTCTTTTAAATTTCTCCTGCTGTTCCTTCCATCTCCACCCTTTACTCTCACCTTCCCACCAATGCACCAGAAGTACCATACAATACACACTAAAAAGGAGACGCATATTTTATAAATGGGGGGTGTGCACAATCTTAGATATCCTGTTTGTAGACAAACGCACCGATCCCACACTTGCCGACGAACATGACGACTTTCGTGACACTGGTGACGGGGGTATTGGGCTTGATGACGTTATAAATGGCAAATGAATTTTCTTCCCGGCATACCTCTTCCTTCATCAGCTCATACAAGTCGTATCCATTGAATTTTCCAACATAACTGGACATTTTTCGGACTCTCTCTGCCACACTCGGGTTCATCTCCGTTTCCTGATAAATTCCCGAAATGCAATTCACATCTGTGCTCCAAATATTATGAAAAATGCGCAACATAAGTCATTCTCCAAAAATGATTGCTTATTTCGTGAAATTGTACCCCAGGAACTGAGGGGGTGAGTATTTCGTCCTTGGGTCCATGGTGGCCTTCGGGCATCGTGCACGTCGTCGTGTTTCTCCTGTTAAAAGAAGAGCAAAATAGATAATCTACAGTGCAGAGGTCTATGGTAAAAGGGCTTGAAGTAATTTGCCTAAACGCGCAAATTATTTCGAGCTTCTTTATTCTAGCTGTTTCAAGTGTCAATTGACCAACGTTACCCAGCGTTGAACCATGAATGCGGCCATGAATAGAGCTGGCAAGTAAAAATATACTGTTTTTAGAAACTTCCTCTTGTTCCCTCATTTTCTGCTTGAGTTCAGGGAAAGGCGAAGCCTGCTCTGAGTGAGGTGATGCGCAAGTCGTTGCGGCTCCGTTTTCTTAATATGAATAAAGGAGAAACTATGGGAATCGGGTAGCTTAAATAAATGATAGCCCTTAGTATATATTATGTTATAGGCTTTCACGAACGACATTAATAATACACAGTGTATATTTCTTAATCTGGAAATTGAGAAAATATTTTTACAAAACTTGTCGTAAGATGGGAACTCATATACCCATGTGAGTAGGGAAATGTGATAGAAGTCTGCAGAATTCCTGCTGACTCTTGAAGAAACTGAACGTCGCTGTTTTCCCCGTCAAACGTGAGTTGAAGTCCGAAATTCTTCAGATCGGAGAGGCGTTCCTCAAATGGATCCCAATCTGCCTGGTTCCTCATGGCTGACAACCAGGCAGCAGCCTCGCGGGATTCGTGCAGGACTTTTAATTTCTGCTCATCACCAATTCCGCTCCCTTTTTTGATGAGCGTATCGATGTACCCAGCGACATGGACTGCCTCCGGTTTCAGAGCGATCTCCTCCAATTTGGAAATGCAAGCTCGAGCATCGAGGATAAGTCCATGTATTTTCAAATGGACGGCTCTAAATGCATTTCCGAATTTCTGGAGCTTGCTCTTGTTTGCCCTCTCGGCACTGGCCTTCCTTAACGCGTCGAAGGCGATTTGTAGAAGCTCCAAAATATCATTTCCTGTGATAAAAAAAACAGCGCCAAAATATTGCAGTTAGCTATGAGGAGGGACTCCCTATTGCTGCCTCCAGCAGGATAAGGAACACATCAAAATGGTAGAATTTTTATAGTAACCTTCACCTTGCAACTGTGCAAAATAATGAACAACATAATGTATATGTACTAAGAGGACCGTAAAGTTGTTATACAGCACATGAAACTATCTTTCTCCAGACAAGCTAATATTTTAAAAGATATTTAATAAATGCACTTCCGCATTTTCAGCTTTTTCCAAGTCCTTAGACGAAGACACATTAAAATGTGAAATAATGAACCTAAAAGCCGTATGCTGATGCTCAAAATGATAAAACATGAACATTGTCGGGTACACGGATTTGGGTGTTACCTTAGACACCAGATAGTGTGTGGGAATAAACCGTGTTAAAAGACTTACATTTATTTCAAATATGCACCTTGAACAAAAAAGGAAATAAATAAAATACTTGGAATGAGATACCTATTACTTATTGAGTGACTGACACTGTACCAATGACTTCTTTGAATTTTCATGGAAAATGGCGTCTTACGACAAAAAAGTTTAGTACAGAGCTGATCATGTTTCAAAAGTCTTTTCTGCTTTTAGTTTCAGACCTTAAATAGAGAGCAATTCCGGGATTAGCGGAGGTTCAGTGAAGGACAAAATTGCGTCAGCGTTTGACACAGTTCCAGTTGATGACTCATAACACGAGTATGAGGTGTTAAATTTAACTTAAATTTAAGTCAGTCATACACATACTTCCTGGCTTTGCATTGGTGCTAGTCGCATGTCAACTGACCTCCTAATGGCTGAACTGCAGCTGTTCAAAGTCAACCTTGTCATTAACATAGTTTTGCCCTTCGCTCTCGGTCATACAGAAATTCGAATTCATTAATACTCTGGGTGTATGCCATCGTCCTTCAACACTACCAGTACCCTTCTAGACATGCTCTCTATCAAGTCCAAGCACATTTGGACGGAAATTGCGTCCAACTCAGTCGTGACCTGCTGTCATATCTTGTGGATACTGATAGGCGCATTTTCGTTCACAGCTAGTCTTCGCTTCAAGTCTTGCCGCAAATGTTCCATTGGGTTGATGTCTGCGACTGCTGCCCATTCTAGGAACTCCATTCTGTGGTCCTGGAAACATTTGCGAGCCACCCTTGATGTGTTTCGGATCATTGTCCGGCTTAAACGCCACCTCTCTCATTTCAAGCCAATCTATCTCAATTGTTGAGAGCAATTCTTCCTCGATGATGCTTGTATACACCTTGGCATATATCCTTCCTTGTATTTGACATCTATATCCGACTACCTTGGCAGTCATGCAACCCCAAAACATCAGGATGCCTCGACCATACTTACCAGGCCTCTTTGACATGCCACGCAGTTTCCATATCCAATCACGACCAACCAACTTCATAAGTTCATTTTTTTAAATCTCGTCTGACACAAGTATACATTTCCAGTCCTCTATGGTCCAGTGTTTGTGACGGCAGGAGAATTCCACCAGCTGTCGAGGCCACAGCAGTCGGCATGTGAGGGCAATCCGCTAATATATTGGGGTCATCCTGACTTTTGGCGCTGCACGACGGCCAAGGGTGTTGCATATGGATGTCTAAAACAAGGAAGAATATATGCCACGGTGTATACTCGCATCATCGAGGATGAATTACTCCAGACAGTTGAGCTCGACCGGCTGGAACTGAGAGGGGTGGTGTCTCAGCCGGGCAATTATCCGAAAAACTAATCGCGTGTGGCCTAAAAATACTGCCAATAGAGCAGAATCGAGGCCAAAGAATGGCCAGCAGTCACCTGACATCAACCCAATGGACCATTTGCGGCAAGACTTGAAGCGAAGACTAGCTGTGTACCAAAAAGAGCCAATCAGCATCCACGAGATGTGGCGGCCGGTCACGACCGAGTGGGACGCCATTTCCGTCCAAATTCGCTTGGACTTGATACAGAGCATGTCTAGAAGGGTACTGGTAGGGTTGAAGGACGAAGGCAAATACCCAGAGTATTCATAAATTGGAATTGCTGTATGTTCGAGAGTGAAGAGCAAAACTATGTCAATGACAAGGTTGACTTTGAACAGCTGCAGTTCAACCATTAGGAGGCCAGTTGATATGCGACTAGCACCAAAAAAAGAGAAAGCACAGCTCTACTTAGAAAATAAATAATTGCGTGTTCTTCAGCAGATATTCCGCTACACATTGTGTTCACAGTCACCATCTGATATAATTTGAATATCTTATTTGATTATTTTAAAGGAAGTCTTGCATGGAAACTATTTGATATACTAATGAATTGAGATGATGCCTAAATAAACAGAAAACTTTTTCTTGAAGAGAACCCTTATGTATTGATCAATGCACGTTCATCGAGGAAGTCAGCGTTTATCCTCACCTGTATGAAGTTCTTTCCTAAAGCGATACATAAGGTCTTCGATTGCGAGTCTTTTGTTCAGAACTTCCCACGTGGGGTCGAGGGATGCGTCTTCACAGGACTCCAACCGATCGCAGAAGCGCTTCATCTTCTCGAAGCTGGTGTCCCACGTAAACCTTTTCATGCCTTCATCCCCCTCCTTGCAGCCAGCAAATATGGGAGAATTGTTGATCATGAAAACCTCGTTAAAGGGGATCCCTCCCGCCTTTAAAACGTTCAATGCAGGTGGTTGTGCACTCCAGTCAGAAAATGTTATGACGGCGACGAAAGCTTTCTCCACATTTTTCCCAAAGACGTTCAGCACCGAATCGAAAACGTACTTCTGCTCCTCCGTCAGTCTACTGTCACAAACTCGAACGACAAATCCCACAGCGTGGATTCCAGTGATGTTCCATTTTTTTCCCTCGTCGTAGAACATCTGGAACTTATTGAGCAATTTCTTGTCCTCTTCTAAGCCTCTAGTATCAGCGAATCCCGGGGAATCGATAATAATTAAATTGTGGGGGTATCTTGATCCTTGCTGGGCATGGACCATATAGGCGGACACCTCATTCGTCATACTGTTAGTTGACTCGATCACTTCCTCATGGATTAGCTTGAAACGAAATTCGTCATCAAATTTCACTTCGAGGATGTAGTTTATTAGAGAGTTGATTGTGCTGGTCTTGCCTGAAAAAGGAATTTAAGGGGAGAACCATCACGAGGCAGATATTTTTTTCCCTTACATTGTGAGAGAACTCTGATGATAACGTGCTTAACATTTCGTTTCATTTTTTCATTCCCGAAGAATCTCCTCAAAATACTTTGCCTAATTACCCAACTCTATAACTTTGGGAGTCTTAATTCCTTATTCTTTCTTCCATTCTCTGTTTCACATACACACTCTTAGATGTTCATTAAGGTTCAAATCACAGCCACATGCAAACACATGATAACAGGGGTTGAAGATCAGAATTCATTTTAGATTAGTTGACATAAGAACGCACCTGCCCCAGTCACCCCGACGAACATGACGACTTTCCACTCGCTGGTGACGTGGATATTGGGCTTCATGACCTGATAGATGCCGAGTATATCTTCTTCTCGAGCCAACTCCTCCTTCTTCAGTTCGTACAATTCGTATCCATTGATTCTTCCCAGCGAAGTGGACATGCTCATGACACGCTCAGCTACCCGCCGCTCGTCCAAGATCTCAGAAAAAATTAAACATGGTTCCACTTCAGTTTCGCATATCCACAAAAAATTATATTCATACAATCTTGTTTTTGCCAGGCCAAATGGTACCTCAGGATTACATGACATGTTGATTTTGTCCCCGTCTCCAAAATGGCCTTGCCATTCGTTGGCGTTGTCAGTCCCTTTCCTGTTGAAGGCATATCAAAATGAAATTCGTCACCCCATTTTGAAAGAAGCATCGGGGAATCATCTGGTTTGAATTGATAGTACCTCGGGCTGTGGCATGAATAGGGACTCATAGGGACTAATAATGAGTGGATTTCGTCTTTACGTCCATGAATTTGTATATTTATAAAAAGGTTTGACTGGATTGAATTTCGACTTTGAAAACAAGACCATCGAAGCCTGAATAGTAATTCCACAACAGTAAGGGAAATTGAAGAAAAAGTTTCAACCGCTTACACATTTACTTCGTACACATCCTGAAAATTTGAAGTTTCTACTGCGGATAGTTTAAAAAGTGAAGGGGACCGAAGATGAAAGGAATTACTTTTGAAATAGAAAATCCGTAACTTTTATTACGCACACCTACATCTTCCCATTAAGAATAAGGAGCCGAAATTAAACCGTAAACATACTACTCATGGCTACATGAATTGAATGGGTGTCCACTCGACCTACGGTGTAAGACACATTCACTATTATGTTATTGTACCAATTACTGTACCAAAAAATTACGGAAAGGCCTTCCGTCGACCTCAGACAGCTATGCTGTACATGAAAAGAGAAATATTATTTGTTAAACAACCCGAAAATTTGTAAATGACGAGCACATCAGCAGTACAACAGGATCACATGATCTCGTACCGATTATCGATGAGTTTCATGAGAGCCCGAATAAGACCTCCTGGTTCGTCCAGGGACTGGACGTTGCAGTCCTCGTCGTCAAACTTGAGTTCTAGGCCGATCTTTTTCAGCTCAGACAGAGGTCGATCGAAAGGATCCCAATCTGCCCTTGCGGTCGTCAGCCACTCCGCCGCCTTCAGTGAGGCTTTCAGGGCTGTGGCCCCTTGGTGGTTTCCTTCATCCAGCTCCCGTTGGATGAGGAGGTCCATGTAAGCGGCCAGGGGTATGGCATTCGGTCTTGCGGCGATTTCTTCCAGTTTGGATATGCTAGCGTGAGAGTCGAGGATGAGTTTGTGGACTTTCAACTGGATGATTCTGTACTGCTTCCCAAGTTCCATCAGTTTCTCCTTGATAGACCTTTCTGGGCTGATATTCTTCAACGCGTCGTAGGTGATCTGCAGAAGTTCCAAGGTTTCCAGCTCTGAAATGAAAGGATTTTACTTAGGAAGGGCTTTTCTTTTTAACTCATCTTTTCTTCCTACTTCAACAGCATCACGGTGGAAACCTCAGGTATTTGTAAGGACCCTCAATCCATCCGAATTCTTCCTTCTGCCCTCGCAGTGTGAATAGATCCAACTGTCGCAACGGTCCGGAAAAGTGTGCTGGCCCGAGAGAGGGTGACGTACACCCGAGCCGTTTAAAAGGCGCCGCCCATGCGCGCTTGGACTAGCGGGACATACACACATTGGCAGAGGCATCGGAGGCTTCATACGCACACACGTACGCATGCAGCTTCATTACGTTTTTAACATATGGGATATTTGTAAATAACTCAATATGTTTCCCCAGTACCATAAACTCATGACGTACGCAAGTGATCCACTTCAAAAATTGAGCAGTGTATTTAGGTCAATGAGTAACTGACCCTGCTCCAAAGACTTGCTTGAATTTACGGGATAAGTGGCGTCACCTGACGTAATTACTTTACCAAGCTGATCTTCGTGTTTTTCTGAAATTTTTCGGCTCCAGGTTGAGGCCTTTCATTGTCTGCCTAGTGGAAAACATTTAAAGATTCATAATTCTCTGCAGCTAGAAAAAACACAGCCCTAGTTGGAATAAAGAGAAGTGCAAGTTTTCCAGTAGATATTACGATCATATCATGTACTCTCCAGTCCACATACGATATAATTTGAATACCAAGTGTGCTTATTTTAAGATGAGTAATTTTGGAATACAATTTGCATGTATTAAGATAATGCCGACATGATTTGACAAACTTTCTTTCTTGAAGTGGACACTTACGTATTGATCAATTCATCTACATCTTCGAGGTTGTCAGGGTTTATCCTCACCTTCACGAATTTCTTTCCGCAAGCGATGCACGATGTCTTCGATAGCGAGACTTTCGCCCGGAACTTCCCTCGTGGTTGCGGGGGGTGGGTTTTCCCAGGACTCCAACCGATCGCAGAAGCGCTTGACCTTCTCGAAATTGGTGTTCCACATATACCTTTTTAAGTGCAGATCCTCCTCCTTGCAGTCAACGAATATGGGAGAATTGTTGATCACGAAAACCTCGTTATAGGGGATCCCTCCCGCCTTTAACATTTTCAATGCAGGTGGTTCTGTACTCCCGTCGGAAAATGTTATGACGGCGACGAAAGCTTTCTCCAACTTTTTCCCAAAGACGTTCAGCACCGAATCGAATACGTACTTCTGCTTATCCGTTTGTCTACTGTCACAATCTCGAACGACAAGTCCCACAGTATGGATTTCAGTGATGTTCCATTTCTTTCCCTCATCGTAGAACATCTGGAACTTATGGAGCAATTTCTTGTCAGCGTCTAAGCCTCTAGTATCAGGGAATCCCGGGGTATCAATGATAATTAAATTGTCGGGATATCTCGATCCTGGCTGGGCATGGACGACATAGGCGGACACCTCATTCCAGGAACTGTTTTGTGAATGGATGACTTCATTGATGAGCTTAAAACGAAATTCGTCATCAAATTTCACTCCGAGGATGTAGTTGATCAAAGAGTTGATTGTGCTGGTCTTGCCTGAAAATGGATTTCAAGAAATTATTACTCAACTTGAGGCAGAGAATTGTGGTGTTTTACTTTAACCATGTAACTTCCAGATTCCTCGTAGGTACCAGATGGTTATTTGTTTAAAATTTTTTTTGTTCTTCATTCTTAAGGTTTCTCTTTCGAATCATTTACCTAATCAGTATCACATGTCTTCATGAAATTACTATCGGCATTACAAAGTTAGTTGCCACATGGAATGAATTATCTCCTGATCCTAATGAAACACATTTATTTCTGAAATTTTTAAATTTAATTAAATTAAGTTAACTTCTAGGGAAAATTTTCCCCTTAAACTGTATATGCTGATGCGAATAAAAGTCACCCGTAAGGAAAAATGACTTCGACCCAGAAAGATCTGCGAATGATGGTTTGGTATGGTTTTCAAATGTTATTACTTGTGAAAAAGTGATTTGAGAGATGAAGTAATCCCTGGGTGGCTTTATAAACATCACACCGTGGTTGAAGCTTCTCTGTTGAATTTCTGCAGCATTTCCGGGTAGACATTTTGCAAGGCATTTTTTAAATCTTAATTCGGGCATGGGGAGTCAAGAAGAACAAAAACCTCTGCAATCCATTAAGTTCATTCAGAGTTTTTTTTTTAAACTGCAGACGCCCCTGGTTCGAAGGATGCCATATATGACATCAAATGCCACATTTCATACTTCCTTATTTTTCCTGTATTCACTTTGTCCACAATTGTTTCGTCACTTCTGACATAGGACGAACTTCAAGGGGTTGTCCTTCTGGCTAAAATATCCTCACCTGAACGTTCTAAAACATCATCCACGAAGTGCATTCATGATGCAAGGTCACCCAGGTTTGGTATAATCTCTGCAAAAACAATGTTTCGCAGTTAGGAACCTCTAGAAACCTAACCAAATCAGCACCTGCAGATCTCTTTGGTCGAGGTCACCTGGCCTGGAAGTGACCTCAATTGGTCTTATGCTTCGTATCAGGAATTTGCCATGGCAATTTCTTTACTGCATGGCAAACAGCCATCATCCCTGACTTCATCAGCGCCATTCACTTAGTCTCAGTCAAAACCTCGGGCAGGTTTTCTGGGATGCAGGGGTTAAAGCATGGATTTTTGCCACTGGTTTTCATGATGATCATGACATGCGGCATCGCCGGGAAAAGTCATCCACTGCTTTCTGGCACACGTCCAAGCTTAGTACACGTAGCACACGTAGCACACGTCTTCAGTTTAGTAGAAATGGCGCTGATGAGGTCAGGGATGTTGGGGGGTTTCGTAGCATGCACCTTTAAAAAAAAAACCAAACCAGTAATCAGAAACCGTCAATTTAAACAACATTCGTCAGGAAAATTCTAGGCTTTCAAATGGTACAAACCTCATTTACATCAAAAAAGAAATAAAGACTTAATAATGAACAGCACTTGGGGCGGGGTTTCTAGGACACCCTGTATATATTTCGCGATACATTCCTTCAAGTAATGCATGACTTTGAAAACCAATTTCACCACCCCATCGTAAACAACGGAACGTGTACGATGAAGCGACTCGGAACAACACACTAAGAACAGTTTTTTTTTTTTGCAAGAGAATCTAAATCGCCAATCGTACTCGACCCAGAGACTCAGACTATCGGGGAAATCAAGTCCTAGTATGACTCTTTCGGTGTACGATCCTATGCAACAAGTTGCGCTCTCCCCATGAAACATGGGAAATTGAAGTTCCATCATAATACGCCGAGTAAAATAATCGATAGTCAATTGGATCGTAACAGCTTCCACTTTACGCCATTGAAACATGTGAACATGTGTTATTCTTACATCCGCTCCTCAGATTGCAATTTATAGAAGTTTGGATGAATCAGATTCTTTACAATCGATTACTTTGTATCTCGAGAAGTAATAATTCCTTGTTCTAACTTCCCTTTTCCCGCTCCTCGGTTTCGTAAATTTACGAACCTCACTCAGACGCACACATAGGGCTGGAGATATATCCTCTTGAAGCAGTTTTAAGAGAAACGCACCTGCCCCAGTCATCCCGACGAACATCACGACTTTCCCGACGCTGGTGACGGAGGTGTGGGGCCTCATGACATGGTAGATGCCAAAGATACCTTCCTCTCGAACCACTACCTCCTTTCTCAGTTCGTACAAGTCATATCCGTTGATTTTTCCCAGATGAATAGACATTTTTTGGACTCGTTCTGCCACCCTCTGCTCGTCCTCGAACACCTGAAAAGTGAAAGTGGGTTTCATTGAAACTTTTCTCTTTCCCAAGAATAGTTATTATTCAATCATGCTAGCTAGGCCTTCTGGTACCTGTGGAATTGAGGATTTGTGGGGTTCGACTGCAGGTCCAAATGATTTTTTTTTCATTTCATTGTTCGCATTGTCTATTGGCATCCGTTTCCTGTTGTAGGTATAAAAAAAGTAATTTGTCTGCCTCAATCCAGGTGCATGACATAAAAATGATCTCATACCGATTAGAGATAATTTTCTTGAGAGTCTGAATAAGACCTCCAGGCTCATGCAAGAACTGAACGTCACAGTCCGCGCCGTCGAACGGGAGTTCGAGGCCGATCTTCTTCAGTTCGGAGAGCGGTTGATCGAAAGGGTCCCAGTCTCCTCGATCCCTCGCGGCCGTCAGCCACTCCGCCGCCTCCCGTGAGGCTTTCAGGGCAGCTGCCCTTTGAGGGTTTCCTTCATCCAGCTCCTGCTGGGCGAGGAGGTCGATGTAGGCAACTAATGTCGAGGCATTCGGTTTCAGTGCGACGTCTTCCAGTTTGGAGAAGCTGGCATGAGAGTCGAGGATGAGTTTTTGCACCATCAACTGGGTTGCCCTGTATTGTCTCCCAATTTTCATCTGCTCCTTCCGGATTGCGTTTTTATCGCTGTCCATCTTCAACGCCTCGTAGGAGATCTGCAGACGTTCCAAGGTTTCCAGATCTGAGAGTAAAACATTTCCCCTGTGCATGACATTTGTTTATAACTTTTTTCTGCATCTTGATGAGAACATCAGGGATGAACATGGAGTCTTTGTCTTGTTAAAAAAAAATTAAGGTAATGTTTAAGCCAATTAATAATGAAATTCAGTCCGAAAGTGCCGATATATTTCGAGAAACTATCAGGAATACTCACATATTCCCACACGGGTTCTTAAAATAAACATGCCCAGCATGACTTCAATTGTTACTTATTTTTATCCACAGAAGCTTGCGTAGCCGATGTGTTACCGAGACTCTCGCAAGAAAATATCCCCCGAGTAATCGTGTAAAATGTGAATGAGGTCTGATGACTGGTTATCTGCTGATCTTCCTGGACTGTGATTGCGTTTCATTAAATCTATTATGGGAAAATTCAAACTTTATTGGACCCATTATTCCGCGCAAAAGATTACATGCGCGAAAATTTCACATCTCGTTACTAGAATCCGCTCTTACTCCTTACTGCCAGAGCGCTGCCGAACAAGCCACGTTGGGCTTCTAGGATGTTCAATATGTTTCTGCATGTTTTATGCTATTGGAAAGCCAAGAGCTTTGTCTACTTTGGTTTGATTTACACCTCCATGCTGGATACTGTACCCTTGCTTGAACTCTTGGTTTCTCTATAGGTGACAGGTGCTCTGGATCATGTTCCCACGGACTTTGAGGTTTTCGTATATTCTCCCTTTTAGCTGAACCCAAGGCCTAAGGACATGTGCTTTCATACTGTTTCTTGGGTTATAGGAAATTCTTCTACTCCAGTCTATCCATCAGGCAAGACGGGAAGAACATATAATCTCTATCATAACGATTCCCATTCTCGAAACTGTGATGCCAAAGTAAACATATTTTCAATTAAGTTTCGGTTTCCACCGTTTAGTGGCTCTGACCTTGTTGTACTTCTCCCAGTAGTTCCTGTATGTTGCCCTCGGTTATCTCTTTGTGCTGTACGATTTCCACCCTCCTTCCAATGCTCGCTGGGATGGCATCCATTAACATGCTGAAGTAATTTCCCATGGTACTCATCATTTCGGCCCACATTTGCTTCGTCCCTTGGTTTCTATTGAAAAGACATCGATTGTTGACAGTATATGCTCCATTATAATGTATATCAGCTTTTTCCATCGCTTCGAGGATAGGGGGACGATTTTCAAAAGCGAACGTAACGAAGAGATGGATATTGTTAACGACGTCCGTTCCAAAGAGTTCTTGAATCTGTTCAATGACACGGACATATCCAGCCGTCAACCTAGTAGTTGAAGCAGAGATAACCAGCCCGACAGAATGAAGACGGTCGATGCCCTTTTCATGATCAAAGAGATCCTTCAGCGTGGAAATGGTTGCACCGTCCAGCCCCTCCGTTTCCCCGAATCCCGGCGTGTCCACGATGGTCAACGGGCATTTAAGCCGGCATTTCTCCTTCACGGGGTGGATGACATAGGCGGTGACGACCTGCGTCTTGTTCATCCATGGTTCCTTTTCCGTTGCCACCATCTGCAGCCTCCAATCATCCTCCATCTCCACGCCCAGCATATAGTTCAGCATTGAGCTCATCAAGGTCGTCTTCCCTTAAATATGAAAAAGGTCTGGTGGTATCTCTTATTAGAGAGTTCTTTTTTGATAGCCTTAGAGTTTGAGAAAATAAAACTACTGATATTTCGGAAGCAATTCATTTCGCCTGAAGAGGATACATCATCATTAACTCTCAGCAGGGAGGCATATGGGACATCGAGGTTTTTCCTTTATCTCCCCAAGTAGCGCAAAAGTAGTGGGCTATGAGCACCCCGGGCACTACACTGGCGTATTTCTGCTGGGGTGGGAACGTGGCGGAAATTGGGACATGCAGTTGCTGGCCTGCTACCTATTGTAGGTGGAGCATGCAGCTGGTACTCCCCTATATGCAGTACCAAATATCCCCATTAGGTGGCACCCTCGATCCCTGCACCCTACAGATGCGATGAGCTACCAGCCATCTCGATTTAAGAAAAGTGTTTCTTCTGCGTTATTTTCCTTTTTCTAATGTGCAATTTATGGACAGATACAAGAAACACGTGAAATTATGATGTTTTCATTGCAATATAACACACGGGAATTATTAAATGCTGTAGTTAAGCATGGGAATCCAGAAATGTACAGGACTAGGGGAGGGTAGAGAGTTTTCTAAGTTTTCTAAGTTTTCTAACATCATATTATTCTTATGTGTGTGTGTGTCTTAGTACTCGTAAACTTATACCCTACTCACCCCTCCAGATGTCCTTATTGGATGCGGAAGAAGAGAGCAATGAGTCATTTTGGTACTATTCGGTACTCCTTGTAGTGGGCTCCAGAGCCAAGAATTGAGTAGTTCTCTAGAAAAGAGGGGTATGTGCAAAAGGTGCAATTCGAGTAGGCCAGCAGGCCAGTAGTTGGCCTGCTATGAAGTCAGAGCATAGGAAAATCTGCTTCTATTTTGCTGAATACGCATGTTGCTTACTTGCTGATCACCCTATCCTATGACTAGTCACCAAAAGCAGCGCATGGACACAAAAATGGAAAAAGGGCACATACGCCCATTTTCCGGAGAACTCCTCAATTATAGGTAAATCGTATATACATGGAGGCATTAGGACCCTTCCCAGCTGGTGGTACACCGCAAACGAGCCAACTGGTTATGTACTGGCCCATTAGTGGCCTGGAAGGTGGAGGGCGAGTGCTGGCAAGTGGGACATTTACCAGGTGACCCACAACACAATGAAGTTGATGGGCTACCAGCTCTTTTCCCCAAATGTATTGTAGTGGGCCACCACCTACGTGGTACTTGGGTCGATTTTGAACTAACAGAACCCTGCATAAACCTTTCGGTTTAGAGAAGGGAAAAGATTCCTTTTCACGAGTAGTGCTGATTGATCTCACCTGCTTTGCTTGGACCGGAAAGAAGGACCACCTTGCCAAAAGTTTGAAATGGAAGCGTTCGCCGTCCTATACTGAAAGCGAGCGGATTTTTCCCTCCATTCTTCAATATAGGTCGCTTCTTCGGTTCGAGGATGTTTAGCCCCTCCCTCGTCGTACTCAGAAGTTTGCCTTCCACGAGGCCAAAATCCACCTCGTTTCTGTTTCGCCAATGAAAATCATACTTCCATGAAAAATCTTTGCTCATCAGCCTTGCCGTCCTCAGAGAACTTCGGCATGGTCAGAATTCATGAATTACCGCATTGTAAACTCACTTCGACATCCTTTAAGAAGCTGAGTCGTTCTTGGAAGATGGGAATTTTGCCGAAATTGGAGTTTCGTCTAGGGGTTCTTGGGTATGTTGAAATTCCCTCTTCATTCGTTGCTATCAGGGCAGTCAGAATGGGACGCTAAGATTGCTCTGAAAATGAGAGAAAGGATCTGGATTGCGACTTGATTTGCAAGTGGTGTCAAACCAGGTAGCTATTTTCTCCAACATTCTAATTATTTAGAGGCGTCACCTAGGCTCCTCGATATCCCTCTCTATCATAATGCAGAGCTCACCATATCTTTATTACAGTATATCTAGGAGTTTATTTGTCTATAAAATATACACAATGGCAACAGTCGCATATACAGCGCTAAATCTAATATATATAGACGATCGTGACTGACTGACGCTAATTCTAACCATGTTCTAGAAAGGTTAGAAATGACGCCTCTAAATAATTAGAATGTTGGAGAAAATAGCTACCTGGTTTGACACCACTTGCAAATCAAGTCGCAATCCAGATCCTTTCTCTCATTTTCAGAGCAATCTTAGCGTCCCATTCTGACTGACGCTAATTCTAACCATGTTCTAGAAAGGTTAGAAATCTGAAACTTGGTACACATGTACCTATTGGGATGCAGATTTCAGAAAAAAATCCCACTTTGGAGGTACATCCCCTTGGGGTACAAATCTGGGGGGAATGGTTTTTCTTAAATATATATTTTTATGGATGAGGATGGCATTCAGAGGGTCAACTGGAAGTCCTGGGTTCGATGGTGTTGTGGCAGCATATCTGACCGGAAATCAGGAGGTCCGGGTACATTTCCCGGACATTCTTTGGCTTTCTTTTGGCTTTCATGGCCTTCCATGTCCCCTTACTCATTCCCCGTCCGTAACATTACTTTTTGCATGAGCGAAACGGAGGAAAAAAATTTTTGTTGTGCGTCTCCTTAGAGCACAGCTTTTGTCTGGGTCACTTTTCGAAATTCCTTTTTTTTCCGCAGCAAAAATGGGAAACGTATAAGGTTGAAACTGGGTGGCTTGGAGATCCCTGAGCCTACATTTCAAAAGAAAAAAAAATTTCGTTAAAACCCATCAAGGCACTTTTTATAGTGCAATTTTTTTTGATCCAACGAAACAGACACAGAAAATTTAAAATTTCCCCAGAAGTACCTCTTGATTGCTAAGTACAGATTATTGAAGGGAAGTTTTTCAAAATGTATTTTCCACCCTTACAAAAAGGGACACGAGAAAAGATTTCATGTTATGCGCACTAGAAATCATATAAGTAATGATTTTGATAAAAATCAAGACTTTCGTCCCCATAAGACACGTATTTCAATGGAGACGTACTTTAAATACGTGCTTGCCATTTCGCAAAGAATAAATGATTTAATCAATATCCAAGGTAATGGAGCGCCGAAGGCGCGACTATAGCGGGTTTGTTTGCCCGAATGGCAAACAGACTCGCTCGTACAAATATACAGATGGATTAATTGGAACGTGGTGTTAAGGCACTCACAATTTCTGTATAAATACAGCGTGATTCAAAAGTGGTTTTACAACTTCTATGGCTCATAGCTTCATCCGCCTTCCACACAATGCAACGAAAGTGGTATTGAAATAAAGTTCTTAACTTCATGTTTTTATCACCTGCAATTACCACAAATCAATTTGACTACCAGAAGTGAAGCGACAAATATCCCAGCAATACTTAATCTCATTCCATGCATGTTGCAGCATGTCTAGTGTAACTCCCAGCGGCCGCAGTTTTCCTTTCCTTCAGTTCTAGCACCTTCGATGGCAATGGTAGCCATTTTGGTTTCCACAACAACAGCGCCGTCACTGGTGAACCTTGGAACAATAGAGGGTATTACAAAAAACTTGAAGCTTATACCTTTTTTTCAATGTGATTTCAATGTGATGCGCTGAGAAGGCACAGGGAGTTATAAGTCACGGAAGTTGCAACGCTACTTTTGAATCACGCTGATCACCATGGATGTTGAGAATTTTTTCATCATAACGTCAAGGTATCTCAGATTATGCACCGTCTCTGTCAAATAAAGAGTAGCAACATGACATTTAGATGGATTCCTAGATTTCCGCCTTATACCCCCACACATTTCTTTTCGCCTCATCCTGTACCTATGTTAAGACAATTATAAAACCGTGTCTTTTAAAGGGGAGCTTTTCGGGAAAACCCTACACCCCCAAGAAAGGGTCTGCAGGGTGACATGCCCTAAATATAGTAAACACTCCTGGAATTAAATTATTACTAAATGTGACCAATACTTTTCCTACCACTATCAGTCGAGCGACAAAATCCCAAAACATGTCGCCCCGAAGAATTCATCAAAAATCTTATTATCTCCTGAGATTGTGATTCCAATAATTATTCCTGTTTTGTATTTCACTTCTCCAGAAGCAACTAGAGGGCTACTTGCATTTTAAAATCCGGCGTTTTCCCCATTTGGGCATTCTGCTGGAGAAAAATCCATTCTGGAAAAACGTCACCTTAACCATTTCGCCCATGGGAATGAATTCTAAAAAAAATTCATGGTCTTACCCCTGAACAGCTGCCCAAGTGGCAAGCATTTGGATTATAGATTGGTTCGAATCGTTGAGGAGAAAATGTATCAATGAAAACCTGAGAAACATTTTCCCCATGGGAATGTGCCTAAAAATTAGGAAATTCCCTAGAATCAAAGTGGCCTTTGACTATTTATTTATCTAATTTAAGTTTTCTAAAGCAGCCCGTTTCAAAGGAGCGGATTTTCTATCCTGAAAAATATCGATAAGTGGAATGATGCTCGCACAAATCCTGCCAAACCCACAAACTCATACTAAATTTTGATTAGGAAATAATCCCTGGGATGAAAGGGAAGGAACCCACAGGTCAAAACAAGTGACTCGTTTCCCTCGGAACCATTCGATCCCATGAGAAGAAACAGATGTAATACTTGGTCGAGGGGTTGCAGTTCACGATAGACAATCCACGATACAGATAAGGGAGAACGGTGGCCTAAAAGCACACTATCTCTTTGTCCCCCGCTGTTTGAAGGACATACTGTATATTATTTAAGAGTTTCGTGCACTTATCAGCCGGTGTTGAAACGTCGCAGTCTCGGGACCTTCCTAAGTACTTGTCAAGCAAGCACTGAAGGAGGCCACTCATGAGATAGTCATTTCAATCTCAAGACGAGTTGCTCTCAAACAGCAAAAATGTTCTCTGCGCAGGAGAAGAAAGGCAGTATAAACGAAACAACTGTGCCATGCTTTACCTCAGAAATGATTAATACTCGGACTGCGGTCGCTCCTTATTGCTTTATGCGTA